TTCAACTGCGTCACTTACTTGCTGTAAACAACAGCTTAGTCAAAATCCTGGTGAAGGGGAGAGAAATTAAGAAAAGTTAAAACAAAAAACCGGATAAGCTGGATGCAAACCTGCTTATCCTCAAATGAAGAATTGATTTTCTTCTGTTTGCGGGTGTGTGTAAGGCCTCCAGATTCATGACCTCTGGGCAAAAGCGCTTAAAACAGAAAGAACCATCTTTTGCATACCAAGGATGAGCCGAACGATATATTCGGATAACTATTCTCAATTAAAAGTAGCTTCATGATCAAAACTGTTTTAACTAAACAAGTCATGATACCTTCGTTAAAACAAACATATTAACACGAGTCCTCTTCTGTATTTAGGCTCAGCCAATTATATTATCGCACTCAGGAAATACCATCGAGTCGCGCCAAGCTTATATCATCGGTACACTCAGCACGAACCTTGTCCTAGCCTCATGCACACATGTTGATTTTGGCTTTTTGTTGTTGTTTATCATAACACTATTGTTAGATTTTCCAAAGGCTCTTTCCGTTGCATCTAAACAGCTGGAGCAGTCATATATAGTATTTTTCTTTCTCTACATAACAAGCAGAAACAGTCAGGAACAATCCAGCAAATATCATTGTATTTTCTCCTCTTTTCACCGACACAAGCTGCAAAACTTTTGAATACCTTGGTGTTAGCTTTACATCATTTATAATTTAAGTTCTGGGAATTCGGATTTAAATCAAACAAGATCCTATACAAGAGGATCTTATACTTCAAGCTGAATTTAACGGTCTTTTCTTACTTTCGTCGCCCCTTTGCCAGACCATATATCAGAAACGGCCTAACATCTTATTTGTAAAATTGTTTGGGTTCGCTACGGGGATGTATTACAGGTTCATTGTTTTCGAGCTTAGTAACCGCTACCTTCTTCCAAAAAAAGATGGCGGTGTGATCGGGTAAAGCCTTCCGGTCTGATATTGCTAGGCAACGAGACCTTCAACCCCCGCCAAACATTGAATCATCATCCCTACCTTATCACAGCGATGACAAAATAGAATGTTATGGTGGAAATGCTCGTTCTAAGCTAAAGAATAGCTTGTTTACTTTGATCTTTCCTCGTTAAATTTGTCCGTGATTACAGAATATTTTCAACCAAGCTAAGTTCAATCTTTCTTTGTGCCATGTTATAGAATTCAAACACATTTGGTCCTGAAGCTATTTTTCCTGTTGGTTTTAAAGTAGATCAAAAAACTGATGTTCTATTCGGGGCCCTTTTTTTCGCGCTTCAAACGCTGCTGCAATAGCTGCCGCGATGATTCGTGAGGAGGTGGGAAATTTAGAAGGTGGAAATCACTTGAGATTTATGGCCCAGACAGAGTTTGATCTGGTCAACGGAGTCAAATACTTGAGCCGTTGAATTAGTTAAATTTGAAACTTTTCCAAAACGCGAACTTCGCCAACACAGCCAATTTTCTAAACTTGAATTTCTTTGCAGTGCATTGGGAATGTTGATTAACTGTGGGCTAGGGTTTGTTATACCTTTGCCAGAAATATTAAGTTTCGTTCTATACAAGATTATGAGTGTTTAATGTGAATGTTTGGAAGACTTTAAAGGGATGAGTAGCCACGGAATCTTTATACTGTAAAATTAAAGTTTAATGATATCAAATGCGGCGTGATAAGTTCGTTAATAAGTAAAAAAACACTTGAAACCATAAACGAGATCGGAAACCCATGAATGTCTACACTGGTTATAAAAATATTCGACAGGTCACGAGTTCTAAGCAAATAATACGTTAAAACAACTTCATCAAATGATTAATGAAGCGTTTAAACAAAGAGAGCTTATTTCTTACAGACGTTTGTTTTTACGCTGGTAGATTTCAAATGGGTTTGTTTACTTCGCTCAAGCGTGACGTAAATCCATGAGCCTTTGATAAGGTCTTGCATTACGCCTATTTTTAGATCTAACTGAAATGTTGATATTTTTTTCTTTTGAGCGTAAAGAAATCGATGAAAGAAATCAGAAAGAAGGTCGATGAGAAGAAAGGCCGTGGGCGCTTCTCTCTCCCTTATTGCGCACAGTTTTGCTCACATCAGCACTTTCGCTTTGTGTCATAATTTGTTTTGAAAATTACAATATGCAATATCCCATTGAGAAATTCAAAGTTAGCACAGCTTCCTGCTAAAATGAAAAATATCGCGTTATCCGTTTTAGGCTCCGACGCTTGTGTTGTTTCAGCACGTAAAAAAAGTCCGGCTTGGCAATAACAACTTATTCATTGAGCAGTAGTGCCAATTAAAACGAAAACCTTTGCTGAATTTGCTTATCAAGACGTGGTTGCGCAACAATCCGGTTTAGTCATATCAAAACGTAATACTTCAAACGCCCACGGGCTTATTTACTCCCATCGAGGCAATGAAAAAAACGCGGAAAGTGTCCTGTTGACGTGGGAGAGGGCGGATTATGAAAGGAAAGGGGGGGGGGGAAGAACTTTCCTTATAATTTGTGCTAAACTAGTCACCTAGGCTCCGGGGAGTGGTATTCCGTATGATACCTCATATGTAGGTGGGTCACCCGTGCAAAGTACCCTTACAGTCATCAGGTATACCAAAGAGTTGGAAAGGTACGAAAGGGAGGGGAATTCTATCACAACGCTTTTAATCAAGTTCTTCCCAACTAGGTTATTCATGGGGGTGCCATTTTTCATTGGTATGCATACGAAAGTGTATCTGAAGTTGTAAATGAAAAGAGGGGAGATTCAGTCTCAAGGGTAACCCTTCCCCCCCCCACCCCTGTATAAAACTCTGTTGAGTACATCTCCCCAGGGCTTCATCCCACAGTAGTTTGAAAAGGATGGCTGCATCAGACAGTTTTTCGGAAATGGCTCAGCTCTAGTGAAAGCGGAAAAACACGATCACGTCGGAAGGTGTTGAGAAGCGAAATGGTTCCTTCCTTCACTACTACGTCCTGGAAATGTTTGATACTTATCGTCTGAGTTTTCGCAAAGTCTACGCTATCCTCTCCTTCTCTACCCTCAAGGGAAACGCACGACCCCCTTAGCCAAAGCACTCGTGTCCCAACTTGTCGATTTCGTTACCCCAGCCCAATGAAAAGAACGCCAAAACTGCTTCATCAGTGTCATATGACCGAAAGGTGACCCCTAATTCCGGTAGGTGGCTAAATGTGTTAGCTTCGTCGCGAGTTTGAGGGTTCCATTTGAAAACTGATCGCTTCCGTTTGAATAATTAATCGTTTGGTTTATTTACGCGACCGATCTGTGCTTGAAGGCCCACAAAACAGTCTTTCAGGAACCAGGCGAAAAAGCAACTTCTTCGAATCATGAAATGAAATTACGAATTATTGACGGCCAACAAAGGCTGAGAGAAGTCTTCTATTCGGTCGAACGCGCGACATACAAGTTATCTAGTCAGAAGAACAGCATTGCGCATGCGTCATAATAATCATAAAAATAGAGGCAAATACAGTTGGCGCCAGTAAGTCTGGAAGACCGGAAATCGTGCCGTTGAACTTGCCGGCAAAACGCGTGAGGCTAAAATTCCACTTCTCTCAAGCCGGATCTCGCGTGTATTAAAACTCTAACTCGTTGTTTATCCTTCTTCTTTCCAATCAAGCTTACTTTCTTCGATTTTTTTTCTCTTCTGTCATCCCGTAGAAGAGAAATTCAAATCGTAGCCTGTGACAACTTTTGCCCTGAAGGTTACAAGTTTTAATTAGTGCCAGAATGTTGCTCACGAGATGTATGGGTTGAAAATTTCTCTGATGAAAAATTTGAGTTTTAACTACGGCTTCTCAGGGTAATTGCTAACTATCATGCGGATTAAGCATGTCACAGGAGATGATTTCTCCTCCCAGTTTACTAACGAAAACAAACTTTAGCTGCAATATTTAATGGAGTCTTATTAACAAAATACCGGAAACACACGTATTAATCACTGCTTGAAGTTCAACTTTGGAGCATTTTCAACCTCCCATCTTGCAGAAGGAATTAGAACATCGTGGAAAAGATCAACTCTTGGGGTCGATTGGAGACCGAATGAGACCATACCTCGACTCATTCGCTGAGTATAGAAGCTAAAAATAAACCATACGAGTGAATGGCTACTACGACTGTGTAACAGTTATTGACAAAACAACCACAACAACTGCTCGAGGCAAAATTTTCGTGCTCGCTACCACAGAGGTTGAACAAAGTAAATTATATTTCCTTCCCTACGATTCTCAGTCGCTGCCATGTTGCAACTTCTGACAAAAATAAATGATACAAAACACGTTTCATTTTGAGTTTGAGAACTTTCTACATTTATTTAAGGAGATATTTCATAATTATATTTACAATCTGTATATCTAACAATAACCAACTAACTAATACATATATACAACTTCTTCGGAATCTATGAATTGAAGGAATTTCCCACAAATATCATTCAATATTTTTAACTATTTACAAATCTTCCTGAACATAAATTATAAATCTGGAATTGGAGAGGCTTTCTTTATCAAAATTGATGCTGTAGGAGTATACAATGAATTTTAATAAAGGAAATTCCTTTATCGATAGAATTATCGTCAGTGATAAAGGTTATTGGCTGCGCGAGAAGACTAATGGTAGAGGTATTGATCGTAAACGTGTTAAATGGAGTACGTGTCTGGCAAAGTTTAAAGAAGTGTGTAACTCTGTAGAAACTAGTCGATGAGCACAAAAGTGTGCTTACAGTTTAATTGCATACAATGCAAAGTTCCCTCAAGATTATTCAAACTACCACAAAATGGTTTCAATGTGCTATACAAAACTATAACTTCAATTTCTAAATAACTTTAAAACGATTTCGTTCGCTCTATCCTTAAAGTAACTGTATATCTCTCCGATACGAAATAGTTTTAAACTTTCTCGGCATAACCTCTGTTAATTGTAACTCTTTCATTAAAGATCATTGCTTGCCGTCCTTTTGTTTCCGGAGAATAATTCTAAGTTCTGTTATAATCTATCAGCTTGATTCGAATTCAACCTTTTGACAGCTCCAACGAACAACGTTCAACTCAAGTCTTCGACTTCGCCGTCTAAACTACAGTCGCTCGAGAGCGTACTCGTCGTGGAACTTGGGGTTTGAGGTGTTCTGAGTTGCCTTTCAAACTCCAGTAGTTGTCCCATAAAGTTCAAATTTGGATTAACACTCGGCTTTCTTTGTTTCACGAAGTCGTAAGCTTCATTTAAAGTCATGTTGAGGGCTGATATTAAGTAGGCGATAGTTACAGTCACCGAACGCGAGACTCCGGCAAGACAATGAATTAAAACTCCACGGTTCTGTGTGATGCCCTCATCTGGAAAAAGGAAGAAAACAAGTTTTGATTATTAGGAGTGCAGGTATCAAAACTTAAGTTAAGCCGCAAATTCAATATCCAGTCAATAAAGCAATGGATAGTGGTTACGCTACACCGAAGAAGGTAATTAGAAATTCTTGCTTTAGCGGCAAAATCGATTCAAAGCGGACCACGAGTGTATAGCGAGTATAATTTATTAGAGAAGTGACTAAAATCTAGCCAAAAATGTTTTAGCGATTACCCAAGGGGTATCTGTATAGATGATTACTTTAGTTCAATTCTGAGCGATATTTACGTCAGATGACAACGTAGTAACTTTCTTCAATGTACCAACCAGCATTAAACAAACAAACGCCGAGTGAATGCACCAGCGCTCGTTTCTCGAGTCCATAACCACCCACTCACTTGATTAATAAACGACTTTTTTTCGAATTACCGAACTCACTTGCTCTAAAAAGTCAAAAGATTTGTTCCAGTTACGTATAAAAAGTAACAAATTATTTCTACGGGGGGCGTTTGCCGCTAAGAATTACAACTTTCCCGCAATGCCACGGTTGCTATATCTCGCTATTTTTTATCCATCAAATCTACTACATCGAAAAAAAACATTAATCAATCTTCGGGCGAAAAAAAAAATTAGTGTTAACAAACTCACCTATGAATTGAAATGCCTCTGGAAACATGTCGGATAGATTAGCTCTCCAGTTGTCTTCTACTGGGAGTTTCTTGTATTTAAAATCAGGCAAATGTTCGAAAGAGTTCGGCTTGTCGTGTGTAACGTTTAAGATATACGAAATTTCGTATTTCTTTAAGAGTTCCAAATCTGAAGAATCCTTTTCGCTGCCAAGGTATAAACGAGGTAGGATCTGAACAGGGACTTTTGCCGTGGACTCTTGGTGATCAGTGATTTGTGGTGTAATTGGTTCATGTTTCAACGCGCGGTCATTGATGTCGGTGTCTTGTATCGTCAATCCTGACAGAGACAGCAGTGGTCTATCGACGAGTTCTCCAGCGACGCAAAAATTGGGATACTTATTCTCAAACTTCGTAAAGCCACCTGAAAAACATCGGAACAAATCGTTGTAATTGGTGAGTGGCGTATATTAGATTAAATGCGGGCGAGATTAGTTCAAAAACAAACAAAATTCTGATGGTGTCCCCTTTTGAATCAGCAAATGAGCAAGCGACAGACTGTCGAAAATTTAGTTAACACGCCAGTCAACTAAATTTGAGGACAAAAGTACGATTGTTAAATTAAATACAAATCTTAAATCTTACCTTCAAGTAACCAAACTGGCGTATTGACATCTTCGGAAAACTTCTTCAGCAAGACTCCTAAGGCACTGTTTGAACATACGCTCGACACATCGTTCGTTTCCGAATCGTACAAAACTATTCCCGACGCCAGGCGAAGATTCCTGTTAAACTGAGCCTTGCCATCCTCCGAAGTGATCAGTGAACTTATGGCGAAGTTTGCGCCTTTCTTTAGTCTTCGTAGCATGAGGGAAGGAATAGTTAAATTAATCGCGCCCTGTACATGGGACTGAGCATACTCGGCGTACGGTCGGCAGTCGAGAAGTAACAAGATTGCTCCATTGCTCAGTTGGTCTGACAACCATGAAATTGTGGCGCCTTTGGCCATGTATTTCTTCTTCTCCCCTTGGATTCTTCGATAACTCCTTGGGCTGTCCACGTAAAGTAATGAAGGCATTTCAAACTCGGTTCAACGTTTGAGGTCCGCTAAAGCTACGCTCTTAGAGAAAGTGATTTGATGTTTTCCTTTCACACACCAACATAACCATTTGATTCGGTGAAATGAACACATTGTTTTTAGCGTTGAGATGATTGACAGTCATTATCTACTTATGTGTTGGTATGTCGTAACTATCCAATCAGAGTCTTCCTCGCTGAGAGAGGCGCTCTTTCGTCATGATTTCCATAGCAACATATCAGGACTTGAAAGAAAAGGAGGGGTAGCCCGTTCTCTCACCTGTCAAATGCTTCCGGTTAAGTGAAAGCTAAAAATTATCATAACAGGCCTTGCGAAATGCTGTAATAATACACTCGGAGTTGGCCAAAGTGCTCTACATATTCGGCAGTAATGAACAGCGTAGCGACAGGGGCATCATGTTTATTTGTGAACATGCGATTTTACGACTTGGTTAAAGAACAACGAAGTTTTTTTTTTAACCGTATCCCGCTGGTTCGGAACACACCAATATCTTGGGCGCGGTAGTAATTACTCATAATTGCTATTCAAAAAGCGCTTGCCTTCCTTTACGTAACAATACCGAAATCCTGCCCTTTGTTCGCTTCACGGTCGAACGATCGGCTTCAGACACTAAAAGTATCATTGATAAAGTTGGAATTGGTGAAAATTTTTCACTATATCGGAAGGAAAATTGTTTAAAATAACTTTTTGTAATGGTTTTTGGACCATGCTATCCTGTTACAAGCTCGATTTCATTTTCAGAATATTTCAAAACATGTTGAGGTCACTAGGTCGCGCTGAAAGACTCGGAATATTTCCTGGTGGCCAATCAGCGACAAGTTGTCATATTTTCTGGTTTGTTCTTAGCATGTTACCTTAATTAATAATTATTCGAACGGAAATCCAATGCCATACCCAAGAAATCCTGAAAAAAAACTTTTTAAAATAACCACAGATATTGAACAAAGTCTATTTTCGTGTCTTTTGTTAATCTTAAAACATACTTCAGTTTTTAGTTCGAAACTTTTTCTTTTCGAGTTAAATTGACTTTCACTGTTTTACAAAACAGCAATACGAGGGAACGGAACAAACACAGTTTGCTCACAGCTTCAAGCTTCTTTAAGAAAGTTCTCAAGTTTATCGAGTCTGATAACAGCTTTATTAAACTACAGCATTCACACGTATTGACACTAAAGCCTCACTTTACCTTACTGTACGGAAGCGGGATAAATTTTTGGCATATTGAAGGTCCGGGGCTGAATGGGCCGCAAAAACCGCTAGTCTTAAACGGAAAATAAATGTCTAACCCGTGATGTGTCAACGCCCTGATAGTAAATTAGCGACGATGTGTCCGCTTATGACTTTTTCATGCCAAACCGCAACGGAAAATCTAGGAAAGAAAGCAGTTTCCCAGTTCGCCTTGCTTTAAGCATATGCTCTACATTGTGATGTTATAGTGAGGAAAAACGAAAAACGCGGTAAAAAGATCAAATTGATTAACAATATTACAGTAATTTTTAATCCATTCCTTATGGGTGATCTAGACTAATTCGAAATTGAAAAAGAGATTAATTGACGTTTTATTTTGAATTTCAACCTGACCCGAAACCAAAATAAAGGAAAAACGTTTATTTAATTTCAGTTTAGACTGCTTCAAGATGAGCAGTTAAGGAAGACTTTTGCGTGCTCATTATGAAATTTAAAGGCGTTGGGGGAAGGAAGATTAATACTGCCGAGCCTACTTGCTTGCTAATCCAGGAAAAAAAATAACATACCTCTTGATTTCAAAAGGCTCTTAGAGAAAATTAGCTTGTGTGTCCCAAAGAGTAATATCTATAAGCTTAGAGTATTTTGACAAGTCGACGTGTGAGTTACCGCGCCCTATTCAGGCTTGTCGACCAATATTTCAGCTGTGGTTCACTAGCGAATATCGCCGGAAAACGGGCTGACAGCTTGACTGCCATACCCAAAACACTTGAAACTAGCGGTAAACCATCAATAATATAGATTCTGGAGTATGATCTGCGATTCGTACAGCGACAAAAATAGTCAGTATTTTGCAGTCATATGCTAGCTAGAGAAACCAGATATCAATTTGCGCGGCATGTCAAATTCGGTTTACAAGCACCTCTGAGTTGTAAGGGTCAGTGTTAAATCTCCCTAGATTTTCTCAGTTATTTTAGGATCTCACATCAGTCACCTTTACAACACTGCCAGCACCCCCTTCCGACATTTCCTATCTGGCGACATCTGGAACTTCGAAGTTCATGCTTCGATTGTATCAATAACAGGCTTCACGATTTTGTCGCCATCTACACCGCTCCCTCGCTGTTCCTTGTCAGTATGAACGAGTAAAACAAGGACTTTGATTTTGTGGGTGAGCAGAAAAAGTAGAACCTGCATTTTTTTTCGTTTCTCTACTCTCGCCGGTTGCAATGTTCGAGATTATAAACTGCTTTGCATATCTCACTGGGCCTTACAAATTCCCCCTCCGTCACCTAAGCTTGAGCACGGCTTATTGTTAAACTGATTTACGGTACATGTACCCACAGGGGAGCGAATGTCTTTTTTATCTTCTTTAGTTTTGTAGAGTCGCTGATGCGCGCTTAAGTCCCCAGGGTGGTTCCTTTTCAGCTTATCTGTATTCTATATATGGTCTTCAATAGTGATTACTTCCAAATGGAATACGTCTTGAAGAATCGCAGAAATTCCTTGAGGCAGGACAAAGTTAGGGAAATGAACCAACGCTCTGTAATTGTTAATAGAGCTTTTGGAGTCAGTTACATTACCTTCCATACATAGCCTGATTTAAAAAAATGTCGACTCGCCCAGTAAATCAGTGGGATGTGAAATGAGGTTCGTGGTCATCGATTCTGTGGTTATTTTGAGTGTTCTAGAAGACTGTACAAAAAAAAAACCATTGCCATTTTGAGATGACTTCTCTAATGGTGCTAAATATACGAGACTTTCGAAAAAGCTAGAAGAAATATTAGTTTCCCGGAGAGTGAAAATTATATGCTAGAAAGAATAAACCAGAAAAAAGTCAGTTTGAGATGGAAAAGATTGAACACGGTTTGTATTTGACAATCTTGGAAAATTTGGGTTAGCTATATACCATAAGTTGCTTTCGTGGGATCAAGCTCGATGCAAATCCTCGTTCCCAGGTCGATGTGAGAAGGGAGGAACAGTACCCTTGGAAATATTAAGTCCGTTTTAGATTACATCAGAAGGCCCATTTAGTTTCTGTTTTCGATGATTAAGAATGATAAATAGTTTTGACATCACAAAGGGAGCTGAGATCTTATTTAAGTAGTCTCTTCAACTTCTTCTTTCTGGCCATCTTCTCTTCATTTACGTAGCTTTTCAATATATTTGTAATCAGGTGAAATAGAGTTTTTATGAGTGTTTTACCATAAAATACCTTAATTAAAGACTTCTTGCAATAACAACATAAACATTGAAAACGCAGGCAAAATGAAGTTCATTAAAAGACAAGAGTTATTTCTAATGAATATCTTTTGTGTGGCAATTGCACAAGGGCCGGCTTCATTTATCTTTTGTTCTGTCTATTTATACAGTATTTTGATGCTGTTCTTTATTTGATTCATGCTTTCTCTTTCAGTGTATTGTTCTGAATTACTTTTGTTTTATTTTTGACAAAGGTGGCTGTAATTGGAATTATCAGTAATCCCAGTGTCTCTTCGTATTTACCCTGGCGCGGAACCCTATTAATCAGCAGTTACAAAACAAACCTTTCGTCGATAAAATGAAACGTTCTAACCTGTTAAAAATAAATTTCCGCTAAAATGAAGATTATTGCAAATTATTTCCGCTTCATTTTTCTGTCTGTCAGTTATCTTAAACCACAGCGAGCAGAGAAGGACGGAAAGAGGTGGAGTGTAATTTATTGGTAAATCTCCTATAGTTAGAATATGACTTTCGCTCCCCAAACCTTTCCTCCCAAATACCGCTATCTTTGGTTACAATTAGCATTGTAACAATGTCAGAGAAGTCTTAACTATTTCAAATGCTTAACTTTCTAACAATGTTCCGTTTTGGACTTGACCTGAGCCTGTTTGAGATTTTTTAAAGTCTAAGCGAATTTTTAAGAATCCCAACTTAAAATGGTTTGAAGTTCACGCCAACAAGAATTGAGGCAAATCAGTGTCTGATATTTTGTGTCGGTAGAATGAGGTTGGCAAACTGTTTATACGTGATGCGTGATTAAGCCCAAAATCTATTCGCGACGCGTGAATTTTTCAGAAAGGCAGGTCAAGCTGAGATTTGAAGTTTTCCCTTTTAAATTCGTGACGCTTGAGATTTCTGTTTAAAGTACACGTGACGCTTGGATGTTTTCCTTCCCCCCTTGCTAGTCTTTAGAATCTTTTGTGTTGCGTGACAAGCTGATACCACAACTTCAAGGGAGATTGCAAGAGTACCTGTCACTGAATGTTTATGGCGAGGACAAAGTTTTCATTGCTTTGGAAAACCACGGAGAACTAACCGAATGTTCTACATTTTTCAACTTACTTCCACGACTAAACAATTTAGGAACGGAACCGATGGTTTTCACTGAGCTCGGCCCTATTGCTATGAATGCATTGACAGAAATAAATTCTAAGTAAATAAGCATTCTTCGTCAAAGGAAGATTTAATCCCTCTTCTGACTTGTGTCAAGTCGTGTAAGCTGAAATACACTTCACTGATTTTTACCTGTTTCGAACTGAATTCATTGGTGTAAAAAACTTCTTAAACCAACGATGACTGTGCAAAGCGACACGAAACTGATTGCGAAAGAAAAGCGTTGAGTTAAAGTTAAGCATGTTAAGTCATCAATAATTTTCCGAAATCGACGTAAACGCGTGGGAGTTGATTAGAAATACAGAGCAAATAAAATAACATCAAAATGACAGGTTTGAAATGCTTGCTTTCGATCTTCTCCCTTTATTCAGTGTTGAATTACAATTCTTCGACCCTCCGGCTTTTTTAAACAACTTTGCAAAAACATTTTGCTATCATTGGCGAGAAAACTCAGTTCTTCACCTCTTCTACAATTTTTTTGCTTGTGAAACGACATAATTGACGCCGAGAAAGATTAGTACATTGGTGA